CGAATGAGACGTGACATTTTCAATTAGGGCCTACAATAGGAAATTGACGACGAGTGATTTGTTACATGGGGCAGATAGAACACTTTAGTATGAAACCTCTTTAATAACGCATTAAGCTACTTCACAAGATAGGGTTCATAAATTCATAATTAGACTATCATCAGTACGACACGCAATTATTTTTAATTATCTTTGATATTGGCAATTTAGTACTTAACACGAAATCAGTTATCATTTCTGAAATCCTATAGGCCAATTCTACTGTTTTAATTATTTGTAGACGAATGTTATATTATACTTACACTACTGTTGTTACCAATATCAGACTTGCAGAATAATTTAAAAACAAATAAGTATTTTCGGTTAATCAAGGGTCAATAATAAATTAACCATGTTTGTACGAATTTTTTAAATTAATTTTTAATTTTTATATGATTATTATCATATCATACGTACTTTATTAGATGTTTATGTATGTCTTAAGTTAGAACCGGTCAATTTTTGATTGTTTTGTAATTTTGGGCATTAATTCTATGAAACTTTGAATCAATTTAAACACGTTTTCTCTCAGGTTTTACTAAACTACTCTGATAACTTGATTCTCCTTTAGAATCGAATTATATGTCATAAAACAGAAAAGTATCAAACTGAATAATCCAGTCACAACTAAACTTAGAATAAATTCACGGGGGGGGGGGGCGCAACGGTTTAGGCGTTGACACGGCGCTCATCACTGTAAGGTAAAGGTCCTGGGTTCGAATCCAGCGGTCCTGCATTCGAACCCGACATATTGACAAATGGTTTTTTTTCAAAAGCACCAGCAACCTGAGGGTTGATATGACCTGTGCTCTTGCGAACCCTCGTAAAAAATCATAGGTTGCAACCTCACATATACGATTGTATGAATTGAGTCAATAAACATTCAAGCGTCATTTCATTTCTTGAGAAGTGAACTTGGTTACATGTTTTCAAAAGAAAAAGTGAAGATGCGTGCTCACTCTAATTTTTAGGGACGCAACTTTTTTAGATTTCGACGATTCGAGGGATTCAGTGGGTGTAATTTAATCGACACAATTCATTTCGGTTTGGGTACCGTCGCTGGGTTGGTCTAAGACACTCTGAAGATGGCGAGATGTCGAAACACGTCGGAAAAAATACTACAAACCCAGTGGGTGTTTTCCACACTTTTTCCTTGTCGTGACAATTGCTCAGCCCCGTATGTTTATTTCCTTTTCTATACAATCGGTGTAATTTTTCTCAACTGGCATGAATGGTGTGTCACCTTGAGATAACCGATAGTTTCTTAAAGCGAAATTAAATACGAGCAATCAATAAATCCGAGTTTAATTTGACAAGGAGACATTGCGGTAGAATTTGCTTTACGATCAGCGTTCATGGTCAAGTCCGCCGAATTAATTTAGCTCTCTTCGTCGATGTGAAAGCCATTTGCCAATTTTTTTGACGAACTGATTGGGTTCCAAGAGAGGACCGCCTAATGGGACCTGCGACGCCCACGGGAATCAACTTCGGAAAACCTGGACAGTTTGTTAATTTCCAATAAATTGGTTAATTTCGACACTTCGGCGAATAAAATGCAGCCCTAGCTCGTTGTTGTGTTGACAAAGCATTTTTAATATTAACAAACTATATAAAATAACCAACTATAAAACCAAAATATAAAAATATAATTTTTTACAAGTGTATTTAAAGTACGAGGTTATATGAACCCTGCTGTTGTTTTTGAAAAAGAAGTCCAATTGTATGTATGTTGAGTTCGAATGGAGGGCGGCTGGATTCGAACCGCAGACCTTCAACCTCAGTGATGAGCGCCGTGTCATCACCTACACCGTTGCGGCCATTGACGCCCTGTATTTCACTTACTAATATTATTGTTCAGCCATGAACACCTCCGCCTCTTTAGCAGCATGTTGAACTAATTGACGAAGCTTCATAATTTGAATAAATAGTTTGTTTTGTGTGCCTGAGAAGATGCTAACTATATGTCTGCAAGGTACTTGTAGTTTGTTCGTACCTGATAACCTTCAACGGACAAAAATTATGTAGTAACGGTTTGTAAATATTGTCTAACCTGTTTATTTATTTGAATCATAGGTCAACTCTAAAAAGAGAAATGATACGGCCGATCAGAACCCAGTGTTGTTTCTCTAGTTAATGGTAGCTTTTATTTTATTTATGTTCAGTTTTCCCCAGTTAGCCATTCCGGAAATTCAAATAGTACCATCGTTCAACGTTTGCAATGAAGCTTAATTAATGCTAATTGGAGTTAAAGGGCGTTGAAATGAACGGAGAGGCCGCGGAGGAAACGGCCTGGATTAATGAACGAAACACGGCCCGTCAACACAGTTCCAGTTCCAGTCCAAGGCAGATCTTTATCTTAAATCGACACTTTAAGTAAAACATACACCCTTCCTTTCATCGCGAGCTCCTTTTCTCGTTTTCTGAAAGATTAATAGTGAAACAGGTTGCTCTCCTTCGTTCACATGTTGTTTTTTATGTCTAACACTTATTATCTCCATCTCTATTTTTATAACTTTGATGTGTATTGATCAAATGCAAAATTTGTCATATAAAACATTGTTGTGTGTGTTTTTTTTGTCGAAGTCGGAAGAGTGATGAAGCTGTGTTTTGATAATGATGAGGATAAATAGAACCAGGATGATTGAAGACAACAAAATTACATAAAATCATGCATCCACAATAAAATTAACTAGGTTCTCGCTCTTTCTCGACTCACTATTCTCACAACTCCTAATAACTTCAATCTTTTCGCCCCACTTTCTCACTCCCTTCTCTCTCTCTCTCTCTCTCTCTCTCTCTCTCTCTCTCCCTCTCTCTCTCTCTCTCTCCCTCTCTCTCTCTCTTTCTATCTCACTTTCTCTCTATATATATCTATCTATATTCTCTCTTTCTCTTTATGTATCTATCTAAGCAGCACGACGCATAAACCTAATATGAGACGAAGGCAAAATTTGTCTTGAATCCTTGGCTGGATAGCGACTATAATGTCCCTATCCTTGCGCAGGTTCCCTGAGCACTCAGGACACAAGGGTAATAAACGGGCCGACACACTGGCTACTAAGAGGCTTTAGGACCTTACTGTCCCAATTTGTCACAAAATGATCCTTAATAAGTACAAATCTTGGTGGATCAACACCCCGCCAAGCGATGCTTAGAGAGAACGGGGGACCTATAAAAGCAAATAAAAGTATGTTCTGATAAGTCTCCTAACGAAACACTGTCATCTAAGAAGGCATACATGTGCATCAGATGTACTGACAGAAGAACGATTGTGCAGATTTTGCCAAGAACAAGAACCGTATTTTTTTACTAGCCAGGCTGTAGGACTTGATCAATAGTCTAATACAGACTAGAGAGCTCTACAGCCACAAAAATAAAAGGACACAATAGATCGTGTAAGACGAGATTGATTAGCAAAAAAATGGAAAATAAAAAGTTTGTTCAACTCGCAAAACCGTCACTTCCGATCCAACTGCAACCGGAATGGGAACGGAATATCGCGAAGAGCGTTATCTCTTGGTTTCCACGATTCAAAAGAAACTGTTAAAAACTACCATAATCAATCCCTTAACTGATTTGCCTTCCGTTTTTTTATACAGTAAATGTGATGAAAAGTATAGAAGAGGTCTTGTCCGAAAGGTACTTTTACAATTACATTTCTGTAACAACATTTGCGTCTGTAATATTTTACTCGCTTGCAAAAAATATATCTTCTTATCTGTTTGTACTACAATCAGCACTCTTGATATGATACCCTGAAATAGGAACAGAAAGAGGGAGAGAGTGAGAGAGAGGAAGAGTATGTGAGAGAGAGAGAGATATATAGAGATAGAGCGAGAGAGAGAGATAGAGATAGAGATAGAGATAGAGAGAGAGAGAGAGAGAGAGTGTGAGTGAGTGAGTGAGTGAGTGAGTGAGTGAGTGAGTGAGTGAGAGAGAGAGAGAGAGAGATATTAAGAGAGGGAGAGAGGGAGTGTGTATGTGTGTAGATGAGGAAGATAGAGCAAGAAAGAGAAAGAGACACGGACAGACAAACTCACAGACATTATTTCTCTCTTACTGCATGTAACATCATAAAAAATGAAAGACAAATATTACTAAGTATAAAACGGTATTATGTACTGGAAATACTAGTTGTTACAAATCTTGGCTCGAGTTGAGTAGAACCAAGTGTAAATTGGCCTATTTCGTATTTATAAATGTTTTACCGCCTGAATAAAAAATGAAAAATTGCATTGACATATCGTGTTTTTAATTCTTCTCATAAGACAATATAAACGGACGTAAAATCTAAAGAATGTCGTCAACGGGACAAACCCATTTGAAAGCAAGGACATGGAAGAAAATACGCGAAGCCTAAGTTTAAAAAAAAGCAACGTAGATAAACAATCCTTTCATATAAAAAGTAAATAAACATTTTTAGAAACGGGCCAAAAGTAACCGAGGGTATCCTGCACTACCTAAATACAGGTTCGTTTCCACGCTCATTAAATTGTCAGACTGCTTTTTTCTAAACAAGGAACACTTTGTTGTTGTTAACACTTTCGCAGAAACTTTAGGTTTTCAGGTACGTGGTATAATAACTAAAGGGCACGAGATACTTAAACCCCCACCTACTACGCACAATTAAACTAAAACCTTGTATTTCTCTTAGAGCAAATATTAAAATCTCTTTTAAAAAACTAATTTTATTTACGTTAAGATTAAAATATTTAGAAAGATTAATGTAGTCCAAGATATAAGGATAACTGTAATTCTACTCATTGTTTCCATATGACTGCTGCGGATATGCGGAAATGTAGCGTTAACCCGAGTGGTAATTCAGAACTTGCGTAATGTTAAACTTGCATAAGCACATAGAAAACAATAGAAAAGTGACCGATCCGTGAACTGATTTGCGAATACTTTATTACAGAGAAATTAGAGAAATATTGAAAGGACGGTTGGAATAAATCGAATACCTTGGCAAGTAGTAGATCCAAAACCAATCCATATTCACAAGTAAGTGACACATTAAGCAATACGTGTATTTCCTCTCCCAAAGGACAACTGAGACGTTTGAGTTCTCCATTTCAAAAGAGATAAAGTATATCTGGTAACCCTCAATTCCCTGGTTTGTAATCGTTTTCTCTTTGCGCCCGACTTCCCTTGTCGATATCAGAATCTCACGATGTAACCGGACGTTACAGCTTTGAGCAGAGGGAGAAAATTTCGTTTGGAATCGGCCGACGGTGAAACTGGAAATCTTTCGGGCGAGTTTGCACTTGATAAAAAATACGAATCGGTAATCAGATTTTTCTAGACCTTTCAATATTATAAAGACGAGAAACACATTCTGTATTGTTATAGAATACACCATAACAATTGAAATGGAAGCATATAGTCAAATATTTATCCAGTTCAAGGTGGCCGAGTGTTTAGGCCGTCCGACACTAATTGTCACGCTAGCATCCCTGGGTTCAAATCCCAGCATAACCCACCAGTATTTTTAATTGGTTTTATAGTGGTTTGGCCCCCTCATTCGCGCGTCACACTTCGGAAACATTCCTGTATTACGTCAGGAATTACTTACAGCCTGATTTAATACTATGGAATGAAAAAACCAAAGTCCTTATCAGTTAAATAAATTGTTTACTAGGCTGTTTAAACGTTACAACTTGCCACCAGATTATGGTGTTCAACTAACACTTAGAATCTTTCTATGTTCATCATCATATCAGCCATAACTCCTCAAAAAATTACTTACAACAGATCGAAAAAACATCGTGAATCATGTTTTATACAAGCGAACGAAAGAGTTAAAAATTGCTGAGGTCGGAGTTGTTATGAATAGTAGTTTGACCTGGTTGTCCAGGTCTGCCTATCCTTCCTAATTCCACCTTTCTTCTGTGCATTAATGTGATGTCTGTTTTTCGGTCAATTGTGAGCCTTGACAAGATGTGGCGAAAACTCATTCTGAATATATAATTTGAACGATAACAAGCAATTCGTGTATAACACCAATAAGAACAACCAATCGATCATCAGGGTAGATCTTTAAAATAAAAATACATGACATTCACTTTAGAAGAAGAAAATTTTATTCTGACGCTTTGGAAATTAACCATAATTGGTTAAATTGGAGGGGCAGTAAATAATCAAAAAACGGGACTTATATGTGGAAAGGGTTGAAGCACGGCGAAAGAAGTTTGGGAGGGAAACCCAGAGGACCGAAAAAGGAAGGAGTGACTAAAAGCGGTTGAGTCGTATGTGGGGGAGGCGATGAATTCGTTTTTCCTCGGGATACGTCTCACTATACGTTATAGTGCCTGTCATTTTTCTTTCTAATGCTCCGCTCTCCCTCAGAATAGGGTTTCCTGTATTGTGGAAAGCGCACTTATCCTTACATTCGGACATCCTGCAGATCATCCGTCCCCGGTGATGCTGGCCTTGGAAATCATTCTTCGTCCTCGTCAAGATTTATTCTCTTCTCGTCTTCGTTCCATAACGATATTCGCCAGAGTTGGATCATATCGGCGACTGTTTATGTTTTCTTCGGTCCCTCCGAATCCTCAATTTTTGAGACGTCGTATCTGACGGCCCTACGACGTGCAATTATTTTGTAAGGTCCGAGATATTTTTTCTTATCTTTTCATTTTATCGTTTCCTACGGAAAGAAACTGTACGACCACTAAACCACCGCTGTTAAATGGGCAATGAGTTGATCTTCGTTTGTTGACATTTTTTCTTTGCTCTTCCTGAGCTGCTTGTATTTGTATTCGAGCTAATGTGCCGTCATCTTCTCGACCTTCCGTAAAAACCTTTATTTACTTGTCCTCTATGATTGATGTCAATCGTATTTCATCTAGCTGCTTCGTTTCATCTCCAAACGTATGTTTGAATGGGGTTGTATCGATCGATCGTTGATATGATTTGCTTGGATTGTAGGTATATACAGATACCAACGTTCAGGCTGAACCATCGCCTATTTCATAATTATTGGGATGATAGTTCTGTTAAATAGTCCATCTTGGCCGTTGCCACGCGGTACATCCGTTGTCACTTTCGTGTGTAACCTGGTATTTAACGCAGAAATCCTTAAATGCAGCTGAGGTGAATGCGGATTCTCTAGCTGAGATGATTCGATCTGAAGCCTCGAATTTGCTGAACACCTTTTGAGGTCTGTTGCGTTTTTAGTCTTGTCGGAAAAAGCCAGCAAAATTTTGAAAACACGTCGGTTACCGCAACTGTATTTATATCATTTTTTTGTTGAAGAGAGAATGGTCATCGTGAAATGTGTTCAGTGGTACAACTCCTGTATCGCTTGATGAAGAATACCGTGTTTCTTGCCTTGCATTGAATACAGTTCTGTACAAATGTCGCGGCTTTTTTTCTGAGATCAGTGCATGCGTACTCTCTGTCAATCAGATAGAGGGTTTTCGTCAGTCCAAAGTGGTCAATTTTTTCATCATCATCATATGAGCTTTCCGGATTTTGGCCAAAAATTCGGTTAGAATTTGAAGGACAACAGAATTGCGGCATAGAGCGTCACAGTGTTTCGTTCGACTTCCGACCGGGTGCTAAATCATATAATCATATTCCTGTAAAGAAGTGCCTAACGTGGATCTCGATGTGGTGTGCTTCTTGAACATGATGGTTTCAAACGCAGCAAACAGCAAGCTGCTTTGTTCGCGGCTCCCCAAAGATATCCCTTGTATCTAATATTTATCATGGTTTGACATGGTTGTACTTCTATTATCGCAGGCTATACTTTCTTGGCTATACTATCAATAATTTTCTTTCCAATCTCATTCCTATATTTATAATCTGTTAAAATTTAAGTTTCTAAGCTTTATAATATTTAAGCTAAGGCTATTTTGCTACTTTAAAATCAATATTTAATAACACACTTGGTTTCTGTAAATTGTTGACTTTGATATCAAGAAAAATCCCTCAAAGGTGAAAATACATTGTCTGTATTTTTTCGTATAGACGGTTAAATTGTTATGCAAATTAGCTAGCCAAATTTTTTCTCCGAATAGTTGTGGGTAATTAAATGTAACCCAATTTGCTCTAATGGTCACTTTAAGCAGCTCATCCCCACCCATTGCAAGCCATTTGTTAGTCAAATGAAGCTTAGCGCTTTACAGAGTTAGAATAACCCCGTGTACATTACAAACCAATATCCGGAGCGATAATCGGCTTTGACTTTGGCGAGAAATATTTCTCTTACTTTTAGATTTACTATACCAAGGCTGGGTCAACTCTGAAAAGTGATAAATGGGCGACGGGCGGGCGAGTCGTGTTGTAAAAAATAATTGTCCCACTATCCCAGCACTATCCGGCCCGTAGGGCTAACGGCGTTTTCTAACCTGCCGGCTTACGAAGGACTTCTCAATCATGAACAGTTTCGAAACAGGCGTACTTTTCCGCTGTACTAATTCACTTCGCATTGTTCTGGAATCTATGCTAAAAACGTGTCTGAGACGTACAGATAAAAATTGCTCGACCGGATAAATGAGTAACTGGGCGTGATCATGAAGGAGACCCACTCGATAATGATAGACTAAACACACACACACACATACAAAGACAGTGAGTGGTAAGGCGATTGAAAGAAAGAAAAACAGAACGATAAAGTTGTACTGACGTACTTGACAGTCGTATCATAGAAATTGGTCAACACCGGTACGTTTGTTCTTGATTTTTCCTACTGTTAATCACACATCTTCATTTTAATTATTAAGAACTATTCTACTAATGTATTATACAACTAAGTTATAGGTCATTTATACCTGAAAGAAACCTTAACTAGACACGATAACGAATCAGTTTTCATAGGAATCAAGTACATTAGTATTTTATTAAGCTATCTGAAAAAATGGCTATTATTCTCAGTTAATTGCTAGTAAGTAAAACAGATTTTAAATTATTATCCAAAGGGCTATTTTAAGTGACGAAATGTTTATAGATTTGGTCTACTTTGGTCTACATGTTTGTTTATCCGACGGGAGCTTAAATCAGGGCTAAAAGGGGCAAAAGGCAAAGAAGCCTGTTAAGCCAGATGTGGAAGCATAGAGAAATTATGGATGGGGAAGAGGTTTATGTTGTTCTTTTACGTGGAGTTTTATTTGTACTATTTACATGCACAATGTTCAGCTGTGGTAAATAATTTCTATAACACGGCTATTTTTATTAATAAGTATGACTTTTCTAATAAATATATCGATTGAAGATTTCCCAACTAATAGTGTAGAAATCAGCTTGATCAACACTCCTTTTTCATGTTCCTTCTCGCTTTGTTTCGTGCGGCGTTTTGGCTTAAAGCCATATTCTGTGGGAGTCAGTTTGTTTCCGTTCTTCAGACGGAAGAAAGGCGAGAATGGGCGGACCAGAGGAGATCAAATTGCTGTTCGACCACTCACAGGCAGGTTTAATTTCAATATTATTGCCATGTTCATGTTGTTAGTCTAATAGAATAAATTATGACCAGGTTAAAAAAAATCGATAAACCTTGTAGGTTACGTTTGAGAATTTATATGCGATGAACATCTTTTTAGATATAGTACCAGGGAATATTAATTTATTAAATACGCTTTTTTTACCCCTATAGACCCATCAGCCTTCTTCCGGGAGTGGCAAAAAACCCTCAAAGACGGCGCTTTTTAAACGTTTACTGCCCAATTAAGTCCCTCGTAACATCATTCCTTCTGGCCATTTCGGATTTTCTTCCTATCATTCCACGTACCCTCAAGATTTTGGCGGTTTTGGCACCATTTTCTCAGCTCTAGAAAACAAAAATTGCTAGGGGGAGTTCCTTGATGTGATCAAAGATTTTGAAGGGATCTGGCAACAAACCATCCTCTATAAACTAAAACTATTCATTTTCATTTTTATCATCCTGGGTCCTATTTAACTGACAGCTGCTACCGACTCGAGGTGCGGCAGCGAATACTCAGCGATATTAGACCAATATGAGTCAGTTTGCCACAAGGGAACATTCTTGGTCCCGTCTTATCCTAGTCCATTTACATTGAAAACATTTCAATGCTTACCAGCATACAAGCAACCAACAAGTTTTCGCAATCAAAATT